TGATGCTAAGAAAATAGTTAGAGGGATAGAAGCCCTAAACCAGAAAATAATAAATACAGAATATGCGGTCATATTCAATGAAACATATATATATATATATATATATATATATATATATATATATATATATATATATATATATATATATATATATATATATATATATATATATATATCGTACCTAGTAGCCAGAACGCACTTCTCTGCCTACTATGCAAGACCCGATTTGCCTAATAAGCCAAGTTTTCATGAATTAATTATTTTTCGACTACCTAACCTACCTAACCTAACCTAACCTAACTTTTTCGGCTACGTAACCTAACCTATATAGATAGGTTAGGTTAGGTTAGGTAGGGTTGGTTAGGTTCGGTCATATATCTACGTTAATTTTAACTCCAATTAAAAAAAATTGACCTCATATATAATGAAATGGGTAGTTTTATCATTCCATAAGAAAAAAATTAGAGAAAATATATTAATTCAGGAAAACTTGGCTTATTAGGCAAATCGGGCCTTGCATAGTAGGCTGAGAAGTGTGTTCTGGCAACTAGGTACGACATATATATATATATATATATATATATATATATATATATATATATATATATATATATATATATATATATATATATATATATATGTATATATATATATATATATATATATATATATATATATATATATATATATATATATATATATTGTATATAGACCGTGCTCTCAGCCACAGCTCAGAATGGAAGCAAGTCGACGAAGAACTCTGTAGGGTAAGGCAGGTCCTAGTCAACAACGGCTTCTCCAATGGTTTCGTCGAAAACATCATAAGAAGGAAAGTGAAACGCCATGCAACCTCTGAAGAGACAACTAACACAACACCTATACCCCCTATTAGACTATTTTACAGGAACTTCTTTTCCACAGCTCATAAAACGGAGGAAAGGGTCCTGAAAGATATTGTTAATAGAAACGTTATCCCTACAGACAAAAATCAGAGGACACAACTGACGATTTACTATAAAACCAGAAAAACGGCCAGCCTACTCATGAGAAACTCTCCAGACACAAAACAGAACGCTTTAAAAGAAACCAACGTCGTCTATGCCTTCAAATGCCCTCTTGGGGACTGTAAGCTCCAAAAAACCCAGTATATAGGCAAGACAACAACATCTCTTTCTAGGCATTTAACGATGCATAAGCAACAGGGCTCCATTAAGGAACATATAATCTCTTCCCACAACCAAACCATCTCCAGAGAAATCCTAGTAAACAACACAGAAATCATTGATAGATACAGCGATAGTAGGCGGCTTGACGTCTGCGAGGCACTACACATCAAGAAGTCAACACCAGCAATCAACAGCCAATTAATGCACAACTATATTCTACCCACCTCAAGACTCCACTCCAATATAGAAGCATCAAGAAATATGGACCAATAGGTTTTCTACAATCACTTCCATTCAATACCCATTGTTTCGTGTTCTGTCTTGTGTTTAGAAATTTAATACCCTATTAATACCACCTCACCCCATCCACCTCACTCAAATGTAGATATAAACAAATCGAAGATGTGTTAGTTCTATTCAGTTGTGTATGTGTAAACTAAAGTCTTTGAAAATGTAATAAGTTTTACGAAACGCGCTCAAGTGTCGCGTCAGACTAGAAATAAAAATGAATTTTGGAGAATTGATTTTTGAATTACCACCAACAGTGAAAAGAAATGTACGAAAGATCGAGAAAATTCGTGTTAGAATTATTAATCTTACTTTTTCTGTCATATTTAATATATATATATATATATATATATATATATATATATATATATATATATATATATATATATATATATATATATAACTGAAAACTCACACCCCAGAAGTGACTTGAACCCATACTGCCAGGAGCAACGCAACTGGTATGTACAGGACACCTTAATCCACTCGACCATCACGACCGGACAAAAACTGATGGTAGCCGAGGCTATTCGTCCATCAGCCCGCCGGCACTCGGATAGTAATCTTGGGCATAGTATTTTATCAAATCACCTCATTCTTTGGTGATGGTCGAGTGGATTAAGGTGTCCTGTACATACCAGTTGCGTTGCTCCTGGCAGTATGGGTTCGAGTCACTTCTGGGGTGTGAGTTTTCAGTTGCATATAGTCCTGGGGACCATTCAGGCTTGTTCGCATTTGTGTTCCTCACGTGTACCCCAAAGAATGAGGTGATTTGATAAAATACTATGCCCAAGATTACTATCCGAGTGCTTGCGGGCTGATGGACGAATAGCCTCGGCTACCATCAGTTTTTGTCCGGTCGTGATGGTCGAGTGGATTAAGGTGTCCTGTACATACCAGTTGCGTTGCTCCTGGCAGTATGGGTTCGAGTCACTTCTGGGGTGTGAGTTTTCAGTTGCATATAGTCCTGGGGACCATTCAGGCTTGTTCGCATATATATATATATATATATATATATGTGTGTATATCACGAAAATAAACACGTGATTAAGAATGTGACAATGTCAGACCACGGAGGAAAAATGAAACAGGAAATTTCCTTAAGTACTTTCGTATATTAAATACATCTTCAGAAGGACCTTCTGAAGATGTATTTAATATACGAAAGTACTTAAGGAAATTTCCTGTTTCATTTTTCCTCCGTGGTCTGACATTGTCATATATATATATATATATATATATATATATATATATATATATATATATATATATATATATATATATATATATATATATATATATATATATATCTGCATGTTTTGTTCACCATAACGAACCACTAAGTTGGTATTGTGAATCAAAAAGCAACAACGAGTGGCTGTCACACCAGCCAGCCAGCTAACCACTCTCCACCACTCCCTACCTCAACAACACCTCACTCGCCAACATTCTCCTCCCACCATACTGTTTTTGCTTTTATTCACTATATACAGATGTTATATATAAGTATCTACATGTTTTGTTCACCATAATTGTACAAGTATAGTGTAAGTATATAGTAAGTACTATATACTTATAGTATAAGTATATAGTAAGTATAGTAAGTATATAGTAAGTATAGGTATAGTGAGTTCCGGCAATAAGAGGCGTCGTCATACACTCAGTCAGCTGGTGGCTGCTTCTCTCACTGGTTCAAGGCCAGACGCACAAACATTTCTCCTCCAACAATACTGTTTGTGGTGTTATTACACTATATGCACAAATAATATATATAATTATCTACATGTTTTATTCACCATAACTGTACAACTAAGCTGGTATGGTGCCTAAAGAGCATAGTGGTCACCCTCTACACAGCTTGACAAGTCATGTAGACGACACCACCTGCATCACCCATATGGCTCCTCCCTACATAATCCATAATAAGGGTTATTTGATCCAGCCAGCCTGGTCTATCCCCGTGCCCATGAAGTTTCTAAATTTGCTGCTCTTGCTGCCGTCTTTTGCAGCATGTCTTGGGCTGACATTTGGGCGCTGAATTTTTAGCGGTCAAACAGGCTCCTGGCTGCGCATTACCTAGTTAATATTCCTGGGTCTCATCGGGCCTGTGTCGCTCTGGGTCGGCAGATGTAGCCAGTTGTCTTAGCTTCGCGTTGAGGAGCAAGTAACAACCGCCTCCCAGGTAAATCCCTCTTGTTTTCATCTTGTGGTAAATAGCTCTGGGGAGCCGACGAGGCTCCCCCCAGAAAACCAGCGTTGAATGTAAAGAAACGCCATTTTCTGGGTGAGACCTGGAGGCTCTCAGGAACCCTCCCTCCCTCCGGTCGGCGGCTTTTGCGTATTTTTTATATCCAGCCTTAGAACTGGGATTGTGAGTAGCCGGTGTGTGGGGTCTGGGGCTTACCCTTTTCCCTCCTGGGGAGGAGGGAGTTGCGTAGACGGCGGCATGGCGACGTGGTGACATCATGCTCGTTGCTCGTTTTTGTTTTGGAGAGTTCTCTTCAAAGTAGTTCGGCTCTCAGCAGCAATTTCTTAACCAGAACAGGGGTTTGTTTTGAGATGCTTACCTTTCTGGGTGCCTGACCCAGTTGATGGCAGACATAGAATGCTTCCAACCACACAGGGGTTTCTATAGGCCACTGCTCCTCATGCCTCTCTGAGGGGGGGATCAGGTTCTGGCTTGAGGTCCCCCAGTATCCCTAAGAACTCCATTCACACTGATGCCAAAGTCTAATATTAGCATATCATCCTGGATAGCTCCGAGGAGCCTCATGGTCTCACCCAGATAATGGCGTTTCATTACATTCAACAATGTAAAAAGTTTCTTGTTCCAGCGCCTCAGTGTTGCGATTCAGAGGGGAAATGCCTGTTGCGTCTTGTTGTTGTTGTGTTGCAACAGTTTTTTTACATTTTTTAGGCGATGCTGAACAGCAGTGGTGTCAGCTCATGCTGGGTTCACCAGCCTTGGTTGCTCAATTAGTACTGAGGCTCTCACAACTGGGAATGTTGCCAACGATTTTTTTTAAATGGCGTCTGTTTACGAGAGCCCTGAGGAAGCTGATGTGAACCCCGTGTAACTGCGGGACTTTTAAATCCTGCGCGGTACTCCAACACATCAATAGCTGTGGTGTGCAAATCCGTGACAGTTGTTCACCGCAGCTATTGATGTGTTGCGCAGTTTAAGGGTTAATAATAAATGCTATGCAATTCACTTTACTTTGTTAGGAAAGGGTCATGTGAACAAATATAAAGGGGTCGTGTGTAGTGTAATGGGTCATGTGTTTGTAATTTTGAAGAAAGACAAGCAAATTGTTACACTGGTTACAACATGCTACAATGCAGATACAGTTGAAGTTGAAGGAAAGAGCAGAGTATGAGAGAGATAGATCAGCAGAACTGAAGATAAGAAAACTGTACACAAGGTGAAGAACAACTGAAGACAACTATCTGGATAGCTTGGCTGAGCCTGAGAGCACCACATGTGTACCGGGCCTTTGCTTATAGCTTAGACTCAGTAGGAGTACAGTACTGTGAAATGAACGTAACCTTCTTAAGGGCATCGAGTGAAGTACTAGTAACGGCAGCTTGGGCATGAATTCCTTGGGACTGTAAACTGCGGTAACGATCACGATGAAGAGCCGCTTCCTCTTGAGCTCGTTGCACTTCTGATTCCAAGCCTTCAACCTGAATAAAGAAGACAGTAAATCCAAAATCATTATTAAATATAACTGAAATTTATCTGTCTTACTTAACCCCTTAGGCTACAAAAAACAAGCATTGAATGTAATGAAAGGACATTTTCTGGGTGAGCCCCGGAGGCTCCCTGGAGCTTATCGAGCTAATGTATGTTATATTAGACTGGGACATTAGCTAAGGAGTTCAGACCTACCAGGGACCAGCGCCAGAACCTGGCCCCTTCAGAGAGGTTTCAGGGAGCAATGGCCCTGGTAAACCCCCTTGTGGTTGGCGTTTTCCTTATCTGCCATCGACCGGGATTAGGCACCCAGAAAGGTAGGCATTACAAAACAAACCCCACATGGTAACAAACTAAAACAAAAAACTAACAGAGAGGTAGAAACTCCCTACAATCCCAAGGAAACAAGCAAACAAGCAAACATCACACTTTACTGCCGCGCCGATCGTCCGTGCAGCCCTCCCCGCCCCGAGAGGGGGAGGGGGGGAGCCCTGGACCTTACTGAGCCGGCTGCCTAGCATCAGTTCAGAAGCTAAGCTTTAACCAACACGAAAAAAACGCCAACCGGTGGAAGGGAGGGTTGCCAGGGAGCCTCCGGGGCTCACCCAGAAAGCCAGCATTTCATTACATTCAACGCTGGTTTTCTGTGGGGAGCCCCTACGGCTCCCTGGAGCTTCATACCCAGAGAGAAGGTAAAGAAAGTGCTGACCCGGGAGGCGGCCGCCACAAACTCCGCAACGCAAAGCCGAGACAACAGGCTGCAACCTGCGACCCAAGGCAACAAAAACGCACAAGAGCAGACACACACATAAAGAAAGGGGAGCCAGAAACCTGTCCGCCCCTCAAATCCTTGCGCCCGAAATGAGCCCTAGACGTCACCAACACAGCAGCAAAAGCTGCAAACGTCTGAACAGGACGGGCACAAGGATAGACTGCAGGCTGGAAGACTTAAAAAACTCTGCGGATGACCTGGGAGACCCGAGCCCTGAAACAGGGAACGAGGGAAACCGGATCAACCCAAAGTGCATCCTCAGACACGGTACTCTGGTAACGACAAAAAAGGGCTACCGGACAACACAAGACGCACCCCCGGCCGAACCAATCAAGCATCAATAACCCAAGGACCCCTCCGGAATGCAATGGTCTCAACCGTCGGCAGAAGGATGGAGAAAGGCTGCAAACGTACAAACCTACCACCAGTACCAAAGAGCAGAAACCTGAACCGAAGGGGCTACCACAAACTGAGGAGAAGATAAGAAGGCACCCTGATCAAGGACCAGGATGGCTTAGGCGACGCATGAGCAGGCCGGAGGTGAAACAAAACACGAGAAAGCGTACGGAATGGGGCAGATTTGACGTCCACCCTGAACGCAAACTGGAGCAGCTCCGCCAGCGTTGTACAAAACGAGGCGACATTAAGAAACATCAAATAACTGTAGTCCTGAAAACCCAAGAAAGGACAAGACAATCCGATGCGAAAGAGAAGATGACTTACGAAGAGCAAGAAAAAAGGTGCATAGAAACACCAGGAACATCATATTGTCGCCGAGATGAAGCTCACAGGTGGGACACCATCAACAAAGCCACCTGATCACTACAGAGATGGTGATACCTGCGTCAAAATACCAGACGCAAAGAGCCGAGGAGAAGGCCGAACTAGTCACATACAGGACCGGTCCGACCTGCCGAAAGAGGTGGAGCCGCGGGAAAACGCCCCGGGTTTGGACACCTATCAAGCAGCGTCTGAAAATAAAGCTGGGCCGGCCACCAAGGAACCATAAGGACTGCTCTCGTGGGAATGGGCTGCAACCGAGCCAGAGCCTGAAGCAACAGCTGGACCAGGAGAAGAGGAACAGGTACCCCCACCTCGACAAGTCCTGCCGAAAGGCATCCACAGTGAACGCCTTGCAGGCGGGTAAGGGTGCTGCAGAATGGGCGACGCCTAGATCACGCCGACTCGAAGACGTCCATTGCCAGGAGTCCATACGTCCGGCAGAGCCAACGAAACGAGTCGGTGACGACTGGCCAATCCGCAAACAAAGGAATGAACCGAGACAGGCTGTCCGCGAGGACGTAGGACACACCTCAGACATGAACCTCACGGTTAGCCAAACCCCGAGAATCCAATAAACAAACCACTCGAAGGGATCAACCCCAAAGGTCAAACACCTAAGAGAAACCCTGTGGTTCCGGCAAAAAACCGCCAGAGAACAGTCCGAATGGAGCTGAATGGTAGAGCACCGAGTGACGCAAACCCTCCGAAGAGCAAACCAGACAGCCACAAACTCCCGAACTGTGCTGTGAGCCCGATGGACGGACAGACCCCACCATCCCGGCCGACCTGGTGAGCACTGGTCACATAGCCCCAGCCGAGCGAAGACCCGTCCATGAACACATCAAGCGAAGGCTCGGGGAGGGGCCAAGGCACGGAACCCCGAAAACCACAAAGAGGAAGCTGGTGACGCAGCACTAACACAAGATCCCTGGAGGAACAAACCCAACGATTGCAAGAGAGGCGGAAGGGGAGTCTCCGAACCAAACAGATGCCGAAGCCAAACCCGACCCAGCGGGCAGACCAGCACGTCGAAGTTCAGACTCCCGCACAACTGCTCGAACAACCGCCAAGCCACCCGGGACCCCCTCATGAACAGCCGAAGGCGGGACCACAGCCGCAGCAACACTTCTGGAGGGAAAGACAAGGAGCGGCCCAAGAGCCCTAAACAAGACCCAGACAGGTCCTAACCTGGGACTAACCCACACCAGCCAGTCGTTGAGGTAGGCCAGACAACGAATCCCAAGCAGACTCAGACAGGGCACCAAGATCCGGTAAAGATGCGTAAATACACCAAGTGCCAATTACAAACTAGGGAAGGCAACAAAAGTGGCAAGCCTGAAGCCCCACCACCTGCTAGTGCTAGTCCCGGAAAACTGGAGAGGAATGTGCCAAGAATTGACCTGGAGGTCCAGGGCCACCATCCAGGCACCCAGCTCCAACAGAAGCTGGACCAGAGTCCTCTGATGAGGGCATCGAATCCAGGGCGCAGACTGAAGAAGTCCAGAAGAACCGCAGATTCGCTGGGCCCGTGTCTGCATAGAGCACACGCCGGCAGGGCGAAGAAGGCACAAGGCCCACCTCGACAACAAAACCCAAAGTCCCTACACGACCACAACACGTGCCAAGACCCAAAAAGATCAGTCTGCAAGCCAGGAAGACCCCGGAACCACGGAACCCCAGAAGGCAGAACCGGGTCACACATGAGGAAACAAAGCCCTCTGAACCCACAGAGGGGGCCCAAGAGGAAGAAACCTCCGGAACGAAACCAAAGAACCAAAAGGAACCCGGAATCGAACCAGGGGGAGCCCAAACTATCATATTTGCCAGCAGAGATACACCACAGAAAGGCAAAGCACAGTACCCAGACAGAACCCCCAGGGAAACGGTCAAAACAGACCGAAAACCGAGGGTCAAGGTGTGGGAGCAAGCATAAACAGACATAACAGAAAATCCGGTGTAAAATCAACACTCAAACGTTCCCAGAGGAACAGAAGACGGGCAGAAAACACCAGAAAAGCAAAGAAATGACAACAGGAGAATAAAACCCCTGAAAAAGGTGAAAAAGTTCACCCAAGATGCTCGCTCGCACACCCCAGGCGCATGTAAACAAACCACAACGCCGCCGTGGTGGCAACGCCGGGAAACCGGCAGAAGAAAATGGCCACCAGAACAGAGGGCTGTGACCGACACAAAAGATACGAAAACATGCCAGCAAAAGTGGGAAGCAATTAGACTGGATGGGCGAAAAACTCTGCCCAGAAGCAGAAAACCCAGGCAGGGGCAAACTGTCCCAGAACTGCTAGCAAGCATCTCCCACAGCCCCAGGAACCTGCAACAGAGGCCCCAGGGCAGAGCCGTCCTCCAAGCTCTCCGCCCTTAAAGAAAAGTTAGAGTCCATGGGAAAGGCAGCAAGAAAGGGCCACTGGTAAGACCCAGAAGCCTTGGCAGGAGGAACAGGCTCGAAAACCTCCGTCCCCAACCCGAACGGGACAGCCCCCAAAACTGGCCGAGACTCAGCCCTAACTGAACCCCGCCCTGACCCGAAACCCGCAGACGGTCCAGAGCCGGGAACAGGGAGGGAAAGGGGCGAACAACACCTAACCAAAACGGTGCGGCCCTGGGGACATCCGAGTGGAAAACCAACCTAGCGTGTTGCAGCAACCTAACCTAGCTTGCAACACGGATGCTGCCTGTACTCTGAACAGCACAATCCTGGTATTATCAGAATCCTGGTCAGTTTTATCACAGTCAGAGGGCTTCAGTAATACTATCACTGCTAAATAATAGCTGTATCATATATATTATGGTATTTGTAGGCGATGCTGTGGTCACAAGCTGAACAGCGGTGCTGTGAGCTCGTGCTGCGTGCGCCAGCCTTGGTGGCTTGCTCAATACTGAAGCTGTAACACCCAAGAATGTTGGCCTGGATTTTTTTTTCTAGGTGGCATCTGGCAACTATCGGTCGTGGCTGTACTATAGCTGCCCCTATCCCAGGCGGGGAGTTTAAATTATAGCGCTAGACACGAAATCATATATAAATGATGTGCGCGGTTTCGGTTTTGTCACTGATATCATTTAAATATGATATGCGCGGTTTGAGGGTTAATGTGTTGAGTAAGAAAGCAATCGTCAATTAATTCTATAAAATCTTCTGCTTCGTTATTCCCTGTTCTGTTAATCCAGTTTATTCCACTAAAATTAAAGTCACCCATGACACAAATACTATTTCATCCTATAGATGCTTTGCTTCCATTCTGTCTAAATTTGGTGGCCTATACATAACTCTTCTTGTAAGATTATTTGCTTTTTCGTTTAATTCTATCCAAACTGTTTGTGTGTGTGGCTCAGTTTTGATTCCCTCTTTGAGACTACATTTCAAATTGTCCCTAACATATATGGCTACTCCCCCTCCTCATCTAATATATCTATCTGTGT